TAAGCTCATGTGAGTAAAGACTGCTTATTGCTTTTTGTGTGGCCTTCAAAATGTTTTTATCCTACTAAAATATGCCATACTTTGAGAGAATCATTGCCTCTGTATGAGAAAGCAGAATCATAGCCACTGAACTAAATTCATGCCCTGTGGGAATAATCACAATTCAGCAAAATGGGTGGGAAGGAAAAGCCAGAGTTCTAAGTGTGCACCCTAAAAGAGGCCATGAAAGTCAGAAGCACAACCTTAGAACCAGGACAGCTATTCAGTGACGGCAGTCCAGAGGCATGATGGGAATCCTCTGCGCTCACGAGATTTAGGAAAGCAAGAGGATATGAGAACAACATGTAGGCAGAGACATGTTGCAATCTCAGCCATAGTTTGGAAGCTCAGCCAAAGAACATAAGAGCATAAAAAGTGCCATGCTTGGTCAGCCCAATGGTCCATCTAGCTCAGTATCCTGTCCTGAACTGTGGCAGAGGTAGATGCTATAGAGAGAGAGAGTTGAACTGGTTAGACCCATTTCATTGTCACTTCTTGCAACTTCATTGGTGTCAAAGGTCACGTGACATCACTTCCTGATGTGATACTGCTTCCTGTGAGGTCTTTAAATGTAGCTCGCCGGTGCACTGGGTGATAAAAAGTTCATGATCTGGCCCCGCATTCAAAAAGGTTGGACACTCCTGGTTTATAGTGTGTGTAAGTAGGTACAAAAATGCTGCTCAAAAGTGTGCTTATGGAGTACCTGTGCTAAAACTTGCAGCAGTTTGCAACAGTTTGCAGAAAAGGTAACATTCTGGATGAACCAAGTTAATAAGTACCTATAGTAATCTGCCTATATACAAAATATTACAGGTATGTTTATTTTAAAGTTAGCGTTTTTTGGTCCCTTGCATTTCAAATTTGTTCCTAACTTCCATGTGCTAAAGGATGAAACAGAGCCCAAGCAGAGTTGGACAGTAAAATGGGGAAAGGGGCTGCAGGGGAAAAGTTGGGGCAGAGGGCAAGGGGACCATGGAAACTCTGCCCACTATTTTCCATATTGTAGTGGTGGGAGTGGGACAAATTCAAGACAAACCTCTGATAATTAGATTCTATACCTGAAAAATTATAACGTTTATGAATTTTCCATATATAGAATTGAATTCTTGGGAGGTTGTTTTAAGTTCAGAGTAGTCTTAGATTTGAGTAAATATGGTAATTGGCCCAGAGTCTGAAAAATGGGTTATTTAAGATGTTGTAGCTTCCTAGAATATCTGAACTTTTCATGTCCTCTAAAACATCCTTTCAGGGATCCCAGGCATAGAGCTGTTAATTTGTCTGTCTATAATTGTGCACTTGTATAGGTCTTCAACAACAGTGCAAAACTTTCCTTTAATAAGGCTCATCTTAACAAAACCGTTTCAGACTTTGATCAGCGTTTGTTCTTTTGTTACATCCACCATTAACTTTTTTTTTTTTTTTTAATCAATGGGTTCCTTTTTCAGATATTCTGGTTCTTTATCAGTGCATTGGGTTAAGAGTACTGACCTATGACTCCTCTTTATTAATAATTCTAAGAAAGAAACTAATACTAACATCTGGAGGTACCATGTCTCAATCCTTGTTCAGATGCTTCCATTTTCCTCTTATGACACCAAGTTGTTCAAATGACACCACTGACATGAGTTGAAGAACAATGGCCTAGAAGGCAAATAAGCTACTGTCAAGAAATGTAGGTCTCCCCTTTACTGTCTTTAAAACTATTTTGCCACATGTTATAAATCTCAGATCTATAGATGGATGCAGAATCTGAAGAAATTTGAAATAGCTAAAACACTTGTAAGTGCTGGCCTAAAACCGAAGATTTCCATGTTGGGTGGTTGTCTGTTCCTGTAGAATCACATTTCTTCAAAATAGGCCAAAAGTATATTATAACATTACTGACCAACAAACCAAACCAAACCAAAACAAAATAAAAAAATACTTAAGATTGCAAGACAGTAGTGATAGTGAATGTCAAGTTGAAGTTGAGATCAGAAGCCCAAATATCTTCTAAAACTATCCTGGATGACTTTAACTACTTAAATATTTAAGTGATCAAAAGTCTCCTATTTTAGATCATTTTTGGAGAAATAATTTTACACCAGCAACAGATACTACTTCAAAAAGTTATTTTTGGAGCGTCCAAAATAAAGTAGTCGAGACGAAACAATAATTTGAGCCATCAAACAACAATGACCATAACACAAATCTCTTTCAAATTACTATAAGGAAAGATTGTAGCAAGAGTTTGTTCTGTGATGCTAAACTTCCAGACTGGCAATTTTGGAATAAAAAATTTGGAAGTAAATTAGAAGCTGAAGACAAAAATTAAGAAATTTAAATTCTTTCATCAGCACAGCAACTGATTTAGCATTCCCCAAAGGTATTTTTGCCCCCAAGAGTCCCAAAAGGCATTCATACCCTGGAACACAAAACAAAAAAACCCCCAGAAAGGCAAGAAAAATCGTGGTTAAATAACAAGCCTCAAGAAATAAAAAAAAGGAGCATAATATGGCCTGTAAAATGAAAGGTGAAAATTTAAGAAGTAATTTTGAGATTAAATAGCCAAAAGCTCTTTGGCCAAATAGCAAGAAAATCTTTAAATATATCAGAAGTGGGGAATCTGCAGTAGAGCTGGTAGGTCTGTCAGATTCCCAGAATGAACAAGGAATGAAGATAGACATTACAGATAATCTAAATTGCTTTCTTGTACAGAGGACACTGGCAAAATGCCTGTCTCAGTTCTATGCTTCTAAAATCAGTAGAGGTGAAGCAGAACTCAGTCAGCTGTGTGCAAAAGATTAATTACACTGTTAAATTACCAGGAGAAAATGGTAATATGCTCCTAGGGTGCATATTTAAAATGAACTGAGCTTCTAATAAAGCTGTTGAAATCTGCTACTACCCATGAGGAGTGGAGGGATACCAAAGTTGTTCTTACCTTGACCAGAAGGCATGAGGACTGACTCGGAGAATTCAGTTTCAGTGAGCTTTTGTTCATTGGCAGGAAATTTTAGTTAACTTTGTTTTGAGGTTTTAGAAGTGTTTTCCTAGTAAGGTCTTTGTTGTGGGAATGGAAGAGTTGTGTATCATAAGACAGAAGGTCAAGTTGACAGAGTGGAAGTTGGAGGGGTGATTTTAGAACAGGGCACGAATATGAGCTAGGGGTTATTGCCCCCATATGGGAGCAAAGATTTAAAGGAAGTGAAGAAGTGTAAGGCTCTTACCTCTGGAATTTGAGTTACTGCCGTGTATTTGTGCTTTACTTTCTCGTGGCCCCTTCACCACCGCTGCTATGAAAACCTTCATTCTCCAGCAGGTAAAGTGATGTCCCCTAAACTAGTTCTTTGCTAGTGCCATATGTTCTCATTTGCAGGGCCAGAGGCTGCAGGATGGTGCTCAGTTACTCATCCCCCTTCATCAGCTTAGTTTAACAGCATCAGGAATCACTTTTATTGCTAGAAGAAAAATACTTCTGCTATTTTTTAGCTTGACTTTTGTACTCTGCAGGGCTAGTGTTTGATCTCTTGAGTGTAAACCCAAAGTCTCTTTTGTTTTCTCTCCTTCCTAACCATACCCTCTCAGGAGTATTTCCTGAAATTGGCAGGACTATGGAAGAGTCGTTCATTTAAGGGAGTGGGCGGCTTTAGTGAATGCAGAAGACCCTAGGTCCTGTCCCTGCTGTCTTTTATTGGAGGGGAGGGAAGGGGGATTAGGGACTTTACAGCTTCCCTTCTCTCCTCCCTTCATGACACAAGCTCCTTCCAGTTTTCTCTACCTGCTTTTTGAGAAGTGTATGAACAATTGTATGTTATCCAGTGGGAAGTGAGGTTTGTACTGCTGTGTAATCCTACCCCATTCAGCTGTGCACTAGCCTCACTCCCACCTTTATCTCCTGGTGACATGGAGTTAATTTGGAACGTCTGGTGCCAACGGGTAAGGCAGCTTGGATGTGCACCTCATTCTCTTGCCAACTCTAGCCACTGGCGTGATTGGGGCAGTGCAGCCAGGGTATGCACCCTGTTTTTTCAGTCCTTGATTGAACTGCCCTCCAAGGAAATGGAGACATTCAAAGTTACTCTGTATCTTTTCATTTTCTTAAACAAAGACTGCCTTTTTCACTGGGTCTTTCCAAGGGTGATGCTGTTATGGTGCACTGGGATCAAATCATAGCTGTTGATTTGAATTAGCATCCTCCACTCTAGCCCAGTCTGCACTGCCTGGTTTTGACCCCCTAAAAAATGACCCCTCTCGCCTATAAAATTTTTGTTGTGTCTGTCAGGTGCCATGTGCATGGCTAGGTTTCGGGCTCCATTTTTTTCCTAATGATTTATGCTGAGTTTGTGGTTATTTTGCCTTTGTTGTTTCTCTCAATAGTACTATGAATCTATAAAAGATTCACTCTCCCATTCCCACTTTCCTCTATCAACTGGGAACTAATTTGGTCTGGTTTTGAATAATCTATAATGTTTCTTGTAATATTTATTGTGCCACAGAAATTCCAAGGCATGTTTCCATCACTTTGGAAGGAGAGGATCCAGAATCATGTCTTGTTGTTCCTTTAGCTTTTAAAACTAATATTTGCCTTTGTTTGTTCTTAGACTGTTAGATGCCTTGTGCTTTCTTTCTTTGTTCCCTGTATCGTCTCCCCATGGCAGGGGTGCACAATATATGGCCTACTTAGGTCCCACTGGGGCAATCCCACTGGGGCAATCCCACTGACCTAACATAAGTCTCTATTAAACCATGTTATTAAAAAAAGGGTTTGAAAAAAGCAAAATAGTACGCCTTGTTTCCTTGTTGTGCAGCATTTCATTAATCTGTACATGTGCCTCCATATGTGGTCCAGCTTCCCACTTACAAATGGGCTGAGGGCTTACATCCAAACTGAGCAGATCCCACTCATGACAGCTTCCATTGTAAAGTATAGTTTGCAAGTGGCCCTCCATGAAGTTTGTGTTGTGCACCCCTACCCCATGGGCTCCATGCAGAGCAACAGTTACAGACAGGGACAGAAGCACAGTGTAGGTGAACCATACATTCAAGGGAGGGATGCAGCTTTCAGGCACTTCAGGATAATCAAAACAAAGGGAAAATTTTTCCTTGACTGTGTTGTGCTATGTCCCCTCTTTATTTGAGATGAGATACCAAGAGCAAGGTGAAGCTGTACTGGAAACAAGACTGTATCTGTGTCATCTATTGCAGCTGGTGTTTCCTTTAATACCCTTAGAAGTCAAATCAAGCTTGGCTTGTATTTTGACAACCGTTTGTAACTTAAGTCTTATTTCTTGATATTTTTGAGTCTGTCAGTTCAAGCAAGTTGTTCATTTTTTTAATGAAGTTGTCAGGTCAGCTCCATATTATAGATGTTAGACAAAAGGAAATGGATTTTATGAGCAGTGCTCAAGATGCAGCAGGCCTGGATGAGAAAGTCTTCACTCTAGAAAGTTTTCACCATAATCCAGGGGTGGGCAAAATATGACCCATGGGCCAAACCTAACCCACCAAGGCCAGGCCTGACCTACAGCCCCATTGGTGGCGGTTCTTTCCTGTTGCCGCTGCCAGGCTCTGCTGGTGGATGTGGCCCCACTGCATGGGCACCCTGGTCCATCCACCCTGCACCCACTGTCGGGAGCATTGGATGGAGCGGGCAGGCGGGGTCTCCATGGAGAGCAGCTGGGACCCTTGTGGGCAGCATGCATGGCTGGGCAGATGGGATAGGGAGCAGTGTCCAGGAGCAGGATGGGTAGGCAGGGTCAGGGATTGAGATCACAGGGTGGTGGCAGTGTGGGGCTGGGGTCTGGAGCACAGCCACAATCCTCTTCCTGCATGTTCCTGTGACAGACGCCAGTTCTGTGGGCAGGGGCGTGCAGGGAGCGAATGACAGCTATGGGCCCCTGCCCTGCACTGTTGCTGCCCCATAATCCTGATCTCTGGCCCTGCCTGCCCATCCTGCTCCTGGATGCCACTCCCTGCCCAGCTGTGCGCCCTGCCCATGTGGGTCCCAGCTGGTTTCTATGGAAATCCTGGGATCACTGGGCAATGACAGCGCAGGGCTGGAGCCTAGGGCAGAGCTGCAATCTGCTCTCCACATGCCCCTGTCCTCAGAAGCAGCGCGTGTTACAGGAACGTGCAGGGAGCCTCGCATTCCCCATCTTAGTCCTGCCTGTCTGCCCTCCTCTCAGATGCTGCTTCCTGCCTGTGCATGGCCCCATCCCATCTGCCTGGACAAGTGTGGGGGCCACTTAGGGAATCTTGGTGAGCTGTTGTGGGGGAGAGGGTGCTGACCCAGCCCACAACAGCTCACTAAACTCTCTAAGGGGCCCTCTGGCCAAAATAATTGCCCACCCTGCCATAATCGAATCTCTCTTTCCTTTGTAGATTTCACAGAACCCCTTGCGAGGGGCTAACTTTTAAACAATTCTTGTAAGAATTACTATGTAGAGGGTAATCTAGAGAGGAGTTAAGACGGTAGAAAAGATTTGTGAGGGAGATGTTACTTTAGACTTGGTCTAGCAGAAATTACATAATAATGTCAGAAAAACCACTGAGCTTATGAGAAGCATCAAATGCCTCCTATGCTTTTCCCAGTCAAGGAGCCAAAGAAGTATTTGTTATCTTGAGTTACTTAATGCATCTTTCTTGGTGTCCTCAAGCAACACTCATACTGTCAATGTAGAGGAAGAATAGGATCCGGAAGTGAAGAGTAGTGGAGTTCCCAGTTTCTACAGCTGCAGTCTGTGTGCATCCCTTCCCCTTTCCTATGGGAACATTGTGCTTTCTTTTATATTTTTCCTCTCGTTTTTTGAACTTTTTGTTTTGTCTCTTGCCCGTCCGGTTTTAGTTCCTGAAACTAAAGAAGTGGTGAGCCACAAGTACAAGACGCCAATGGTGAGTCAACTGCCATGCCTTATAGTTCTTTTAGAGGATACCTATATTCAATTTCCATTTTGTTGACAATCATTGTGCTATCTGACACACCTTTTGTGTCCTGGCATAGTGCTATGTGGAATGGTTTTCCTCTGTACGGAAGTGCTATGAAGGACTGTTCATGCTGAATTGGAGTGCAGAGCATAGAAACTGGGATTGCAGGGTTATGTAATAGAACTGCCATGAAATGCAAGCTGCTCTTTGAGCTAACTCTTAAAGGGGAGACATTTGTAGCTTGATGCCTCCCACATTCATAAAACTGTGAGAGTTCCTGAGGTAGTGCACAGAGGAATCCATTTTAGAGAGAGGTGAAAATGAAATAGGGAATTTTAATTAAATTTACTAAGTGCTGGTGAAAATTGCTGAATTGATGACCTTGGAGATCTAAATTCCTAATCCACAGAAGAGCGGGAAGGTGAATCACTTCGAGGCCCACACTGATCACCAGCTGAGTTTATGAAGAATTCTCCCCTACTGCTATCATGTTAAGCAGCACAATACACAAAATCAGACAGAATACGGGGGAGATGGCTTATTGAACTTCTCCAGTTTAGTAGTTTTTATAGTTTTAATTGTTGAACACAGGCTGACATTTAAGATGGCACTTATTGAACGATATTGTATTTTTGTGAGTGGTTCTGTGCGTCTGTTAATGAAACGTGAGCAGATATCTACTAGGAGATAACTTTGTCCCAAGAAATAGAAGAAGGATATTAGAAATTTATTAAACATAAAATTCCTAGAATCAGTGTCAGGTGGCTTAAGAATATGTCCTTGTAGTCAAGGAAGTTTAACTATGTCCCTGAACAAAAAAATCCAAAATGCCTCCTCCCCTGTTCCCCAGAAGGGAAAAATAGATGGGTAAATGGAAATGTGTGATAGCTTACGTACACCATTTTGTTTTGTCCTATCATACAAAAACAGTAAAATGTACTTTCTTCTGTAATGCCTATTTTTATACAGTGATTGTAAACTTCTAGAGAACTCAAAAATGCTTTGCAGAGATCATGGCATGATCCCTATTTTAGAAACAGAGAAGACAGAGGCCCATAGAAGTGATATAACCAACTAAAAGCACTCAGTTGGCCATTGGCAAAGCTAGGTATACAATCAGGTCTCTCAAGTCCCAGGCTTCAGTAGGTCATGTTGCCTCCCAGAATGGTAAAGTGAATTATATTACTTGAATTAAAATAACAACAAACTAATCATTATAAATATTTTCTAATGCCATGTACAATCTCACGGTGGAGCTCTCTGCCATATGACAAGTGACGTAGTTTAGTAAAGCTTTCTAAAAATTAGTCACTTTCTATGAGGAATAATATGTAGTTACACCAGCTGTCTAAAAGCTACAAACACTTAACACTGTGTCTGTGGGCATATGCTCTTTACCACTTGGAGCATAGAAGAACTTGCACCAGTCACTGATTCAAGGTACAGTATTGAAAATATTGGACATTGAGATGCATTAGTCATTTTGAACATTGTCTTCCATTACCAGAAGAGTGTCTGCAGTGATATACAGCACAACAAGATCTAGCATTACAGAATGTTTCTTTGAAGCACTTGGCCACTTTTGTGTCCTAATATCCTGTCTTTGTGAATGAATTTTCTCTGTTTATGGTATGATTTTGAATGTGCTGACCCTAAAATTCTTTCTCAAATTTAGTATTAAGTCCTGTCTTTTCCCTTTCACCTCAGTTTGAAATTGTATGGAGTATTTGTCATTATCTTTTCCCCCACACATGTTTTTGTTGCCAGTGTGCTTCAAAGTGCACTGAGTAGAACTTTGTGGAAAGAAATAGTGCAAACATCAGTCATTATATTTTAAAAAAATATTTAACTGTCAAGGCTCTCATTATCTCCTTTTCTAACATTCTCTAGGCTCATGAGATCTGCTACTCCGTGTTGTGTCTCTTCTCTTACGTGGCTGCAGTTCGTGGGAAAGAGGCAGAAAGCAAAAGCAAACCACCTCGTCCAGTTTCCAGTTGATCATGATATTGGGAAATGTTTGCCCTTTGGCATGTTGGCGTTTAGTATTCCCACTTCTGTTGCTGTTACTGGAGTTCACATTACTGTTTCCTGTGAGAACTTCATTATTTATGTTTGATCCTGCAAGTCCTCCCTCTTAGAAATATCTAAAATGTTACTGTTCATTCGCCTGCTGAATTCATTCTATTGGAGTTTTTTACATAAGCTGTGTTTATCAGACAGTACTGAGTATCAGCATCCAAGTATAACTGTGGGTGACTTGCTCTGGCCATTCTTTTGGGACTCCGTTTCCAAGAAGACTGATGCATCTGGAGTTCAGTTGTTTTTCTTTACAGTGGTACCAGTGTCACAGATTTCCTCACTTAACAGCTGCAGGCCTCTGCTTTCAGATTCTTTAGTTATATGCACAATGGAAGCAGCTGGGTCCTGCATGGATCATTTGTTTGTTGTTTAAGTGTGATATTTTGTATTATTTTCCTTCTGTGTTCTTACTTTACCCATCAACGTGGAGTTCTTGCCACATGGTCCTTTCAGTAGAGATTAAATATTCTAGTTACCTTAAGCTCCTCTGCATAGCCTACAACTGGAGAATGGGGCTGTGATTGGATAGTAAATTTATAGAATTACTGCTTCACCAGCGAGAGAAGCTTTGCACAGGGGAAACTTGAGAAGCTAGGCTTAATGAAGTCCTCTTAAAATTGGTATGTTTGTAATGTGTGTGTGTGTCTGACATGGGGAATTTTAGAGCAGCTCTGCTAGCATTTCAGCAGTGCAGTTAAATAAATATAGTGTTAGCTAGAACAGTTAATATAAGTGAGTAGATACTAAGGAAAGGTACAAAACCCCAACTACTTGGAGATGATTTGGTTAACTGAAACATGTGGCAAACCCATGCAACTGTGGGATAATCTCTACAATCTGTACCAAGTATTTCTATAGGAATCTGTGTGCACTTTGGTTCTGTAGAAAGTGTGTGGAAGCCCACAGGATTATGCTGGTTCCAGATCTAATTTTTAGCTATCGCTTCTGTCGAACTGTACAAGTATATCAGAGAATTTTGCTAATACTGTGTTAATGTGTAATTAAACTCCCTCAGTTATAAAGTATCCATCTTGCCACTTATTTTTAGGCTGACAATTAATGTTTGAACCCTGATTTCTTTTGTTCATGAACTGAACTGGACTCTACTGAAAAAAGCCCCTGAGATGCTGAGAGGAAAGAAGATCTAAAGAAAATAATGTTCTGTAAAATATTTGACAGAGTGCTCCAACATAAACTGGAGTACTGTGTGATTTGGTGTCAGATTCTGAGTAAAGGCACTTAGAAATAACCCTGTATGGCTCAGTCAGGGTATTTACCATTTTGAATGGGATGCACTAGGATTGGGTGGGGAAATGATGTAAATAGTCTAATACCACATCTATTTATAGAATGCTGTACAGCTGTCTGAATGTGAAAATAAACTATCACTCAACCAATGATAGCTTCTATCCTGTACTTACTATTCCTGTTGATCTTACTTGCAATGTAATTAAAGTAACTGACTATATAATTATTACATATCATTCACATACAGATGTGATACAAAAAGATGTTCTAGAATATGCTCTAGTGTGGACTTATTCCACATACATTAGCTATTTAAAAAGGCAAATGCTTTAAACAATTATCTATTTAATGTTATGGTGTAAAAGCATGTCTCAGTTTCCAAAAAAAAAAAATTGTGAACGAATATTAATGGTGAACACTGAGGTACAGCTGAAAGTCCATCAACTGTCATAAATAGAGATTATTTCTCACACAAAAATAAAAGCAAGGCTTAAAGGATTGATTAAACCTGATTTTGAAGGGTTTTAAGAAACTGAAATTAACAAGCCATGAACTTGTCATCCTGGCTGCTTTTTTAATTTAAGCTACATCCTCCTCTTACCTGTTTTTTATCTTTGTAGACTGTAAACTCTTTGCAGCAAGATTAGAATATCAGCAGTCTCAATGGTCCCCTGAGTGCTACTGCAATATTAGTAGTGATCTTTTAATTAAATGTGAAAACCAGACTGAATTCACCACCACTTTAAGGAGATATTCCCTTCAGAGCAATGCTGGAGTCCACTAAGGCAGTAGAGAATAATTGAAAATTTCTCCTTGAAAGTCTACTTGTAAATTTAATCTTGGCTTTTAACTAAACACAATGAAGTTTTGTAATGAAAAAATATATATTTTTTAAAAAGCAAGTAAAAACTATATATTGGTCTATGATAAGAATGCTCTAAATATTTTGTCAAAACAGATGTTCCATTCTTGGAAAGTACCTTCATTGCCATAGGTCTGAAAACCATTTTAAAGCAGAAAATTATTGGTTCTGAACATCAGTCTCTTTTATATGGAACTGAATTTGGATTTAAGATTTAACTTTTTTATTCCTTCGGAATAATCAACATAAAGAGGCCTGGTTAAGTATGGTTCTGCAAATTTAATATAGAATTTGCCTATAAGGTAGCAGTATTATAAAACACTGCTACTAAAGAACTCCATTTTTGCAAGTCTAATGATTAATAATAAATGTATCACAGGAACTGAAGGAATACTTCAAGAAGCAGTATCTGATTTGATTTCTGAATTGAGAAACTAATGTTTATTATAGCCGTAACACTAATTACCAAGAACACAGCAGTAACTGCCTTGAAACTAGTAGAATTGGTCTTAAGGCCCTCGGGCAATGTTTTTGTCATATATAAGAATGTGGAGATTGATCCACTTTAGACAATCTGATAAAAGATGACTCCCCAAATACCCATCTCTGAAGATAATGAACAGCCTGGGATATATCCCTCCCTCCCTCCTCCCCTCCCCGGCGCCAAGTATTCAAGTATTTTGTCTATGCAGATATTAGTGCCATAGTCTTTTGGTTCATAATTGATGCACTCTAACTTCTATAGGGGGCTCCCTCCCTTCCCAACAGAGGGTAGGTGAGTAACCCACAAGTCACATGCCAGGTAAAACCTGAATGTCACTCTATTGCAAAGAAAAATCAATAACACACACACAGAATATTATAACAAGCCTCTGAGCTGCAAGCATATTGGGCTGGAGGAAAGGCACTCCACACCCTATCCCCTGTTATTACCTGATGGGTCTTGGGAACCTCACCCTGTGTCCAGGATGGCGAGACTGCCTCCTTTATCGGGTCCTCAGCCTTGTCCTCCCCGAAGTAGTTCCACCCCGGACCCAGTGCTTCCACTTTATATACCTTTCCTTCCACCGGTTATCTCCCCCAGAAAGGGGGGTTCACTTTTAGCCTTTCTGCCTTTTTCTGGGATTAAAGCCAAGCCGTTATCTCATTTTGCAAGCTGTTATTTTCTAAATTCAAATTGCTATCTTTGCACTCAGCTAGGCCTGGGACTTTCCAGGCCCATTGGTCAGTCTAGGGCAGTTCCCTTTTTTTTCTTTACTCATCAGCAAACTGCAGCAGATGCATTAGGTCAGGACCTCATGGCCTCTGGGTTCCACGAAACTGACAGATGTGTCAGATTGACTTCCTCCCAGAAGCCTCTTTGGGTCAGGCCTCACAACTTCACAGTTTATCTAGGAAGAATTTTAGAAAAAGATTGGGAGCATATTGAACAGATTGAAAGTAACAGAATTGGATGTGGTATCACCTTAAATGTATGAAATACCAAGTCAATTTTAAGCATCTAACTCTTGCTCTCTTGGACTATGTAATAGTTACTAAAAGCTTTTCATAGATTCATAGATTATAGAGTTGGAAGGGACCCAATGGATCGTGTCCGACCCCCTGCAACGGCAGAAAAGAGGACCGAGGTCGGATGACCCCAGCCAGGTGATTGTCAAGCGTCCTCTTGAAGACCTCCAAGTTAGGTGATAGTACCACCTCTCTTGGAAGCCCATTCCAGACTCTGGCCGCCCTTTACTATAAAAAAATTTCTTCCTAATATCTAACTTAAATTTACTCTCCACTAGTTTGCACTCATTATTCCTAGTTACTCCCTGGGGCGCTCTGGTAAACAGTGCATCCCAATTCCCTGCTGTCCTCCCCTGATAAACTTATAGGCGGCTACAATGTCGCCCCTCAGCCATCTTTTGTAAAGGCTGAAGAGATCCAGATCTTTCAACATCCCCTCATAGGGTCCTTCATGGAGGTTATTAATCATGTGAGTGGCCCTCCTCTGAACCCTCTCCAGATTCTCCATGTCCCTCTTGAAGTGAGGAGCCCAAAACTGGATGCAGTACTCCAACTGCGGCCTGACCAATGCCGCATAGAGGAGGAGCATCACCTCCCTCTATCTGTTGGTCATGCATCTGCTAATACATGACAAGGTGCAATTGGCTTTGTTGATGGCCTTGTTACACTGCTGATTCACATTCATCTTGGAGTCCACTATGACTCCAACATCTCTCTCAGCCTCTGAGCTGCTGAGGTCATCCCCCAACCTGTAGGTGTGCTGGAGATTCCTCCTTCCTAGGTGGAGTACCTTGCATTTATCTTTGTAGAATTGCATCCTATTTTGTTCCGCCCATTGATCTAACCTGTCCAGGTCAGCCTGTATCTGCTCCCTGCCCTCCGGTGTATTATCTTTGCCCCATGTATCATCTGCGAACTTGGAGAGGGTGTTCTCCACGCCCTCGTCCAAATCGCTGATGAAGATATTAAATAACACCGGTCCAAGGACCGAACCCTGCGGGACCCCACTGCCCACCTCCTTCCAGGCTTAGAACGACCTGTTCACCACCACTCTCTGGGTGCAGTCCCTAAGCCAGTTAGCCACCCACATGACTGTGTAGGCTTCCACTCCACAGCCTGTTAGCTTCCCTATGAGAGCAGGATGCGAAGTTGTGTCAAAGGCCTCCCTAAAATCCAGATAGATGACATTGGCCTCAGCTCCTGTGGCAAGGCAGTGTGTAACCTGGTCATAAAAGGCTATAAGGTTTGTCAGGCAGGATCTACCTGTGATGAACCCGTGCTGGTTTCCTTTCAGCATTGTTTCCCCTGCTGGGCCTTCACAAATGCACTCTTTGATTTTTTTTTTTTTTTCTAGTATTTTCCCAGGAATAGAGGTAAGACTGACTGGCCTAAAGTTACCCAGCTCATCCCTTCTCCCCTTCTTAAAAATGGGTACCACGTTGGCCTTTTTCCAGTCCTCAGGGACCTGTCTGGAGCACCATGAGTGCTCAAACAGCCGTGCCAGTGGCTCAGCAATGACACTGGCCAGTTCCTTCAGCACCTGTGGATGGAGGTCATCCGGGCTGGCTGACTTGTACCCATCCAGCCCTTCCAAGTGCTCTTTAAGTCAGCATTAATTAATTACATTTGAACCCTTTAACATGTTAAGCACTGTTTGGACCCATTAGCATGCACACGTATTCTGGCAGCTGCATACAGGAGTTTATCCAATCATTTGGATTACCCTTCCACTGAGTAAGGCTAACTGCCACAACTTTAGACTCTATTATGTCAGCTTATAGCGGAGCACTGGCTAAGTAAAGACAGCAAGCACTGTTAGAGCAATCCCAGAATTCTGCTGTATCCACTTCAGTGACAGTTTTGACAGGTCAGAATTTTTTTTTGTCACTTAAGATTTATACTTGTAGGCCTAATAGCAGCTTCGGCAGGTCCCAATTGTCTGGACTCTCATCTACCTACTAACACTAGACTGGATAGCAGCTGATAGCAGCTGTGCCCTTACAAATCCCTAGAAGTTAAAGGAACAAGGCAAGATGTTGTTACTAGCTCTCACCTGCCCTGCACAATTTTGGTTATAGAACTTCTAAAATGAATATCAATACTACAAGTCCTGCTTTCTAATTTGGGATGTCTTGGGATGAGATGGGTTGAGACCAAGACTCAACTTTAATTCAGAGTTTTAATTCACTGTATTGCTTGATTAGGTTGCTAGATTGTGTCCTACTGGGTGCATCTACACATATGCTTACCCATGCAATAGACTAATTTGCTGTGATATAAAGTGGTGCACTCTACATGTGTGATGCTATTAGACTGCAGCAAACCAATTTGTGCTGCCCTAATATAGTAGTGTCGGCAACAGTACTATCTTGGGGCGGTGAAAATAACTGCACCTAAATGCCTGAGTGAATGCTGACCTACACATAAATTATGCCCGGTCAGCCCAGCCAGCAGGGGGCCAGACCTCAGCCTGCTACCTAGCCACATGGCTCCACCCTTTGGGCACTCTTGTGCCCCAGCCAGCCCCTCTGATGCTGGGGCTCAGGGCTGACCCCCGAGCCTACTGCCAGCCTCGGGCTGTTCTTCCCAAGCTCAAACTTCTGTGGTTCCAGGCACATGTGTAGATGCTGTGCCTGGGAGCCACTAACTCCAACGTGAACTTCACTGGAGTTTATTGTGCTGCACTAATTGAACTTGTAGATGCACTTGCTGAGGCTTAAAGAAGCCTTCAAATAGGGACAGTTACTCTATGAAATAGAAAATAGTACTGGAAGGGGTAGATGACCAGTTGTCCAAA